TGAGACCTTATTTTATATTGATATATTTTAAGCGACATTGCCATTGACTAAAATCGAAGAAAGCGAGATGTTAAAACGAATTGCAAGGTAACATGCATGACAGAAATAGTAAGTTCAGTGTAAACACAATCGCCTGGAGATGATTAACATAAATATTACAATGATAACAGAGGCCAGAAAAAGTGACTTTTAATCACGATACAAATACGAACTACTTTTTCGCAGCTTCCGTAACGAACAAAAAGAAAATATATCACACAGTGGTTTCAATTCTGCACTCTCATGAAGGCGGCTATAATATTTTTCTGGAGGATATCATCAAGATGTTCGACTTGTTTTAATTCACAATCACACTTTTCTGCATAGGTAAACATTCAAGGTTTCAGATTTTGCATTGCTTGCATTTGAATGTTAATTATTATTATAGATTGTTTGTATAAGATATATTTTCCTCTAATTTTATGCATATCACAACTGAATAGATATAAATGTTTGTCCTGCGAATTAAATTTTAAAATAAATACATCAAAGACTGGACCGAAGATTACTGAATAAACGCTACATCATAAATACCGTTGTATATTTATTTATTTTATGTCACGCTATGTAGGACAGATCGATATAAATCAAGTTCGTTGATTAATGAGAAGTTACATTACTTAATCCTTATGATAATCAAAACTATATAATAATTTCCGTTCTATTTTTATTTATTTATAGATTAAGTATGGCGATCTATGTAATATTATTTGCTAGTGGCACGGTAAAAAAGTTTCGTACGTGTATTTATAAACCGCAGTATTTGCTGATTTAATGCTGTACATAGCATTCAGATGAAGAAAAAAACCACTTCCAAATGGTCAACGAAAATAAAGGCAACCAAGACAAACTTTTACAAAAAATCCTCACAAGGGATGTAGACAAAAATTGATTAAACTGTTTATCACTAGCTTTTGTTTAAGTTATGAGTATCACGACAAAAGTACGTAGGTGTAGGCTTTAAGAAAGTTTTATTCAACTGAGAATACATGGTTCGCGTATAGTGGCCCTTTATAGTTCCAGTAAACAGAAATAGCCCTCTCAAAGAGGAGATAAACAAAACAAGGGGAAACCACTCTTAATTATTCATAACAATGAGTTTTGAAATTTATTCGGATTGTATTCAGACTGATATATAAAGAAAACTTTGGTAATGCCTAAAAAGGCAAATACACGAAACGTAGTAATACGGCAATTGTATAAAGTCTTCAGTGTTTTCTGCTTACGTTTTGCATTCTGAACATTTTTTATACATACAAACGAAATTCATGTTCAACTATGTTTTGTTAAATTTAATATGGAACATTTTAAAAATTATTGTTGTAAAGAATTAATGTTTTTAAAATTTCCGTCGACAGAAATGTACCCATTAAAACAGGCAAGAGCCCACAGACAGAGATACATACGCAAACACGTTATGACGTTTTTTAGTGCACGAATAGTGAATATTCTGTGATTAATCATTTTAAGTAAATTTCGAATAACATTCCTTACATATTGTCGAGGACGTTCTCTTTTATTACAAACAAAAACCCGATTATCTTATTTCTTATGCATGCAAGAATGTAAATATTTTAGTCAAGCTTCTATCATATTTATTGAAAGAAAATTTATGTGAAATGAATTAATTTACTTGTTTCATATCAAAGAATATTTTATATTTTCAATAACTAATACCCAGTTCATTTAACGACCAAATATATGTTGATTTTAATTTCATGAGAAATAATAGTTGTCATATATTTACTACTTTAGCTGTAGGAAAATAATTTAAAATTAAAAATATATTTATGCAGTTTATATATCTAACTACATGTTTATTCTTGACTGTAAAATTCGAACATATCCAAAGTAATTCTCCATTGGCTAGGTGTCTAATATGTGGCAAATGTAATTTTGCAATATTTCCTGGTTTATGATTCTTTCAATAATTATGTCATCATTTCAAACGATAAAAATATAATTTACATTTTCTGTAATATTATAACATTTCTTAAAGAGCGAATGATACAATAAATCTCAAACTCACATTGAGACCACTGTGTAGGAGGTGTTGAGACGACAGTTACATTCACGAAACAACAGTGTACCAAGTGAAGTGCCTCCAACAATTCCTCATTAAAATATAACGCCGGATTCAGGTATACATTTGAAACAATGTACATTATCATAAGTTTCACAGTTCTCCAGACATAACTCTCAATACTCTCTGGTTTTGTTGGTTCTCAGTCACTTGGTAGGAATAGAGAATACAGGTGAATGTAATCTATCCTGACATTTGATATCAACTACAGCTCAAATATAACATAATATAAGTGAGAATTATGCTCCTACATTTTATGAAAAAAAAATCAATATTTCGACATACCCAACCCAGAGATAAGGGAATTAAAATGTGACAGCAGATGCTTTAGCGGATAACTTCTAGCGAAGTCAGATTTTACTTGCAATTCCTAGAGATACCAAAATCAAAAAATGACAATAATTTAAATATTAAGGAAGGCGCATTGGGATAGAGAAATATGTATTCCAAGAAATAAGCAAGATATTAAAAAAAAGGAAATTTTCATTAGAAACAATGACATGAGTATTAAATTGTTAGGTAACGTCACTACTCCTATATGCCAGCAAATGATGAGCAATATTCTCACGTATGAAGAAGAGACCTTGAAGCAACAATATTTAGCAAAGATAACAAAGACAACATTTATCTACAACTACAAAAGACGGAAAATTATGGAGAGTCATGATCGCCGAGGTCTTGAGTGTAGACGCCACAAAGAAGACGACGATAACTTATCCAGTCTCCGTGAGGTCATAAGTGCGTCATCAATATGCCATGCAATCGAAGCAACCAGATTTCTTTCTTATGAATATTTAACTAGTGTGACGAATTAAAGTGTATTTGTTGGACTTATATTACATACACACACGCATGTTCATGTTTTTTTGTTTGTGTTTGTGTGTGTGCAAAATAAGTCATCGGCAGATAAACATTTACTTACTGGAGAATTTAGCATTCGACATACTGATAGTACAAAAAGCCGGTGATAAGTGCAAGTAAAATATTTAACGCGTTTAGGCGAATGAACACAAAGGATAGTAGAAAATAGATCGTAAAGAGGCGAATGTCACTTTGAGTAAGAAAATAGACGGTGTTTCAGATGTCAGTGATACACAGTTCTTTAAATGACATAACATATAAACGAATGAATAAATATCGTAGAAAAAAATTTATCCATAAAGAAATATATGCGCAAAAATGTGCACACTATAGCCCTTTCTTTTCCTTATATATATTCCATAAACAAAGCTTCGTAAGTGACCAAAGTAAATAAAAATTAAAATTAAAACCCAAAGAAAGGAAAAATAAGAAAATCACAGAGACAGAGCCCCTACCTAAGAGTAAATGATATTTCTTTATGCCTAAATGATAACGACAGAGATAATACGCTACTCATCAAATTAAAAAGAGAAAGTTTTCACCGTTACACGAGATTCATGTTAAGTCGATGATCAGTCGACCAGAATGCCTGAGGATAGCGATAGCATAAACTTCGATTATGAATGTGAACATTTTCACTTACACTATTTATCATATATCCTACTTCAAGTGTGATCTTTCGGGGTTAGTCTCGATTTGTAAATAATAAAGATGGTACATTAAAAATAATTAAATCCAGTCACGACTATAAAACAAACAATACGAAAAAAAATCTTACATCAATGATAAGTGAATAAAATAATGATCGAGAAATATAAGCAGTCAATTGCTGATACACCCTGAAGAATGTGCAGACGTGTCTGTCTACATACTAGTCAGTCGGGATGCTGAAGTTAACATCAATCAGCAATTGACAAATTTATACATATATATATATATATATATAAATGACTGTACGTTGACGTCGACTTATAAAACCATCAACCACGTCTCTTTCCTCTTAGTATTTATGAAAATTACTTTATACATTAAGGATTATTTTGATATTGGTTCTCCACACTTTTATGTCATGTTTCTCTTTTTAATTATTGCTCCATTACCATCAACACCTTCTCCTTGTTTTGCTTTTCATTTACACAGAAAATGAAACAAGCTCACTGTTTAAATCGTTTATAATTGCCTGAAGAGTGCATTCACGAACATTAGCAGAGGATATGAGTGCCTTTTAATTTCATAACCATTTATAAATAGTTACATCACTTCTCTTAACACTTATCTCTGAAGTTATGCAACAGATTTTTGTATAATTATTCGTCGTCTAGCGTATGCGCCGACAAATTTTTAAACCGTCTTATTTTTTTAAAAATATTCATACATATATACAATTTTATGATAAATATCTGACCTTCCTGTCTTGGAAGAAGAATGCTATGTTCCATCTTTGAAAAAGTTCCAAATCAATTTATTTTATGTAAAATGGATCAAAAATTATTTAAACCGCACAATCAATCCATTGTCATTTTGCCAGTTGCCACCATCATAAGAGCAAAAACTAATCTTCGATTAATGCATACGATGTTCGATCTTTCTATTTCCTCTTGATTTAACCGGAATTACGTCCCCAATTTAGCTGAGAGACACAATTCCTACGGAAAAATATAACGCCTTTGGGTGAAACGTCTATTTCTTTGGAATTTTCAACAGCTCATTACAATTTTCATTTAGTGGTATTTAGATGCCAATAATGATAATTCATGATTTGCATGAAACAGTGTGTTGCATGAATTGGATATAATTTTTTCGAAAAATTTAAAATTTAAAATTTTCGGATAGAAAGAAACATATCCCTTGATGTATTTCAAATTCTCTGACTTATTAAATGACAACTTACATATTATATTTTTCCAATAACCGAATAACCTGTATATAATGCCTTGGTCATATTTTTCTTACATTTTGAAAGATAGATGATTGCAGTGTTTTCAAATTTGGTCTATCATCGCGCTTCCAAGAAGCTTATGGTCATATCAAGCTGAAACAACGGTTCTTGTCTGATCACCGAAGTTAAGCCACGTCAGGTATGGTCAGTACCAACATGGGTACCCATTTTAGAATACCAGGTGTTGTATTCTTGAAAATGCGGTTGTTGTAATGGATAAAAGCTCGGAATCAGACATCTGAAATCCGAGTTCAAATTCCAGTCGGTTATTTGCGTAAAAGCGATCATATCATATGATCGCTTTTACGCAAATAACCTTGTGAACGTTATGAATATACAGCTTCTCCATAGATATGAGTAGAGATTTTATGAGAACATCATTATATTCAAAGAATCCTTACAAACTAAAAATATGTGCTTTCAAGAAACTACAGAATATTGATAAGACGAAAAAAATGAAATCATTCAATACATTCCAAGAAATGCTCTCAAAACCTTCATATTTGATAGAGAGAGCAAATCCATAAAACAAGAAAAATGTAACTTTCATATAAAATTAAAACAATCTTAAACCGTCTATTTTCTGTGTTTGTCACTAAACAGAAATTCACATTTTTGATGCGTTAGTGGATGTACTGTCAAGATTTCAGAAAACATTTACTGCTTTTAGTTATTGAAAACTTGCAGCATGGCCCGGCGTCGCCCGTGCTTGATTCAAAAATCGTACGACTCATACAGCAATCGCTATCACTTGACTTAAAATATTTTTGCCCTTCCTTGTATTTAAAGAAGTGCCCTTTGCCGTGCTGATGTTGCAACATGCCTTACTTCTTGCCTATCTCACACTGCGAATTTTTCTAAGCTCTATACTAAACATTAAATCTGTTACGAAAAAAGAACTAAACAAAATGAACACAAAACGATCAGCTTTAAAAAAGAACTCGTAACTGGAAAAACTGAATGAAAAAAGAATGTTAACAACAAATACTTTTTCACACACAACCCAGTTCTGCGGAATCAGAATCAACGTTGAGTTTAAGCAAGCGAATGAGGCAATTGGAGTAAAGTGCCATGCAGATTTAAATTTTCCCCACTTGTGACGAATGCAGCTATCGATTTTTTTGCATGCAAACATGCTAGTTAACATTCGTGTCAGTCAGCTGTTGGCTCTCACGCTGGCCAATAGAATCTTTCTGCCTATTCGTGGCAGCCAGCTATTGGCTCTCACTCTGGCCAGTACAAAATGGCCACAAACTACATGGAACCTGCCTTAGAAGCATGAAAAAATCGATTATTTCCACTATCGATGGGAGTTAGGGAATGTAAAGTCGGTCTTGGCCCTCCTGCTAACTTGGTGCATGTGCATGTAAATTTTGGAGCAAATCCGTCAAAAATTGCGGCCGTGCATTCGTTACACACACATACACACACATATCCTGCCTTTTATAGATAGAGATACCCTAATGTACCGTTTCAATATAATGCAACGATTCCTGAAATATGACTGCATGTTGTAACTCTGATTTTTGATTAACATGATTATATAAAATACAGGTAAAAAGATAACGTATTACTGTTGACAGACCTTTCCCGAAATGTTTTGATTATATATCTTGTCCTTAATGGCTGTCAGATTAATTTGAGAACCTACCAGACAATGTGGAAATCATTCACCATGTTTTGACAACAAATACAATTCATGGAAGTGAATTATAGTTATTATATTGGTTTTCTTGCAATTTTGCTTTTGACCTGGTTAATATCTGCTACAGAGACAGTTAGTGAAGATTGATTATTGACTGAATTCTATCATCCAGGATGAGTGGGGGACAGTTTAATATCTGTCCGAAACTGATAAAACAATCATTACAAGTTCTTGACATATGTTTTCATTTCCGTAGAGAGTATAAATATTAAGCCGTTACATCCTAAAGTGATGAACGACACGCTTGGAAATTATAGGCTGAACAGATATTAATACAAAAGATGGATGAAAAAGATTCAATTTATTTTGAAATAGACCTTGAAAGAAATATTAAACATCTGAATAATATGCTGTACGTTAAATATGCTTTATATAATGAATCTCTTAAACTTATGTTTAAAAGACTACCTACCCATAGTGATATTAAGTTTTTCAGAATATGTAAAATTTATGTTGTTAACACGTGTTTGTTTATGATAGATGTAGCTAATAGGAAAACGAAACTGGTACATTAAATGTTGATTAGATGTACCATTGTCAACAATTAAGTTTTTAGTATTATTTCTTTCATATGAATTCCATTTACAAAAAATGTAATTGATTATCAAAATACATAGTACTTTCTTGTCTGTTTTGCTATTCGAAATCAAGAGGTAAAAATTCGTGTTAAAAAAGAAAATAAACGGAACTAACTAAATTTGAAATAATCTTTGTTATCAGCTTCTGAAAACAAAGAACATTCATTTTCTCATTTAAGAAAATTGTTCTGCCTAAACTAATCTGAAATTATCGGATTTGCAAAACGATAGACATTATCTTCATAAAAGTTGTGTGAATTAAATTATCGGTTGTAGGAAAGATTTTTGGAAGTCGGAAAACTAGGACACAAGAATAGGTTAGGACTCGAAATGAAAATTAGCGTGATGGTTGAAAGATTTGCGTAAATTGAAAGTATTGGTGGAAAGGAAAATGGACTCGCATATTAAGAATGAGAAAAGGTATAGGATAAGAAAAATGAAAAAAAAATAGAACGACAATTACAGAGGAAATGAAAAAGGAAATAAAAATACAAGAAGAATAAAAAGGAAAGAAAAAAATTAGGCTAAAACAAAGAGCAGAATAAAAAGGAAGAATTAAAATTGACTATAAGTAAATTAAGGAAAGACCGAAATGGATAGGAATACTGAAATAAAATCGCAATGAAAAGAAATGCAGTGACTGGAAGTGTGTAAAACTCAAAAATATCAGTAGATATTAAAAAATTCAGGCAACAAAAAACGTTAAAAGAAATAATGGTACATGAAATAATAAATATACAAATAAACATGAAGGAAAAATAATCACACAAATATTTTAAAATTCTACCAATTTTTAAAATAGCATGAAATATTAAAAAAGACACATTTAAAATAACAGACACGAAATATTTAACAACAATTACAAAATTTAGTACAAGCTAGATAGAATAAATGTTCTTTCGGAATCATTGAGATGTGGAATTATTTTCTTTCCTATCAGGGCTAGCAAACTCACCTTGGGACCTATATTGAATATTTCGCCGCTTGTATCATCAGAACTATAATATATAATTTAGAGTTCACTGTTGAATTTTGAACCAAACTATTCAATCTGTGAGAATAAATTGTTTTAATTCTGCTCTCCATTTGCAAGAGACATACAATACTCATTATGTTGTGTCACTTGACGGTTTATTCAACTAAAAGAGATTATCTTTTTTTTTCAGTACAAGGACTGAAGTCACAAATGTTAAGTATATATTTCAAGCAACGTTTCAATCCACTAAGTCATAAGTACTGAAGGAGCAAAATGTCGAGGTAAAGAACTTAAGAGTCACTGGCAGATATCGGTTCATTGTTAATTCAGTCTAAAAAACCGACAAGCAAGACAAAAGGGAATAAAGTATGTGATATATAAATATTTTCATATGAAATTATAATGAGAAAAATCAACCACGGCGATTCAGTTGGAAATTGCAAGTTGCTTACTGAGGAAATCTCTCAAGACAAATGAACAATCAATGTGAACATGCCAAAACAAATATTGAAATATAACTGTGGTAAGAGATGAATGCTCCAAAGGTTAGATTAAGCTCTGAGAAATGATTAAATATATCTTACTGGAACATTCCGAGATTTTTATAAAACTATTAGAATCTACGTTGAGCAAAAAGATTGTGTAATTGCTCTCTACGCTTAACAGAATAATCGTGATGAAATCGATTTTAAACAAAAATGAAGCTCATGTCTGATTGAAATAAAATATATATATATATATATATATATATATATATATATATATATATATATGTGTGTGTGTGTGTGTGTGTGTGTGTGTGTGTGTATATTCAAGTATCATTTTCAAGCTTATTTCAAGATAATCTTCGCCTTCTCTAGCCTTCTAAATTTATAACCTGGAATAACAAAGTACCTCACGCGTTTCACGTACGATTTCATTTTCAATTCTTTTTTTTTTTTTTCACTCTTTGGACTGTCGGAGTTGAAACTCATCCCTTAAGTGCTAGACGTCTTATGGATTGAGTTGTATCTTTTCTAACTGATATCTTCAGCTCTAAGTTGAAATGATGATCCATCTTCCTGTTGTTACCTTCTGATTCAGTTTTCCTCTCACCATTGCTCAGTTGGGAAGACATAGTCGAACTGACGGAAAACGATTTTAGACTGTTCTGTTTCTAGCTGAATATTACAAATGTTTTTTTTTCACTGATTCTTAGAATAAATGATGTCAGGATTGCTAAACCTGGAAAAAAGAATCTCAGTTAGTTTAGAGTTTTTTTTTTGTTTGTTTTTAGATATTAAACATTTTGTGGAGTGGCCAATTATGCTGTTGCATGATTTGGACAATTATGCTGTTACATGATTTGAACAATTTTGCTGTTACATGATTTGAACAATTATGCGGTTACATGATTTGGACAATTTTGCTGTTACATGATTTGGACAATTATGCGGTTACATGATTTGGACAATTTTGCTGTTACATGATTTGGACAATTTTGCTGTTACATTCGATATACTAAAATTTAGTAAAGCAAGAACTGCACAGAAAAACCGTCATGTTGGATGTCATCATCAATCTTTTGACCAATTCAATGGCCTGTTGAAAGGAGGCAGAAGAAACAGAAACTCCTCGATTGTCATTGGCTCTGACGAGTTCCGGTATTGTCATGTGTCTCCACACTTTCATGTTGTCTGGCCAGCTTTTGCGTTATAGTCACTTCTTGAGTCCGCCTCCAATAGTATGTTGCAAGTTGGTCTTGTAAATACTCTTATCCTGTGTGAAGTGGCTAAATTCTAACATCTTTCCACGTTTAGAAGTGTCGAGGAAAGATTCCTATCGGTCCATGTGTCTTCTGACCTTGTTCCGTACATATTCATTGGTTTTGTGCTCCCAGTAGGAAATGAGGACGAGCAGTGTCAAGCATCAGTTCTCGAACGCCTGAATGAT